TGTATCAAATCAGGCCCTTCCCCACTGCGGGATAAATTGGTTGGCTTCACGTGATTCAAGCGGTCTGGAGCCAGTCGCCCTAAATCCTGGCCTGGCGGTGCCCAGTGTGAGACTTGATATATGTTTCGCTTAATTCCGGACCTGTTTGCGTGAAAACTGGCGTAGATTGGCGCCGCAAGTCACCATAGTTAGTACGGCACAGTTGCAAAGTTCAGATCCACCGAGTTCTATACCCTTGCAGTGCAGAACATTTCAGGTCGCTGAGATGGTATTGTTCGGAACAGCCAACCCTTGGAGAGGTGATCGAGGTGAAGGTGGCCCAGCTAGCACGCCTGTTGCACAAACGTGGCTACAGCGACTGGCTCAGCTCGTCGGCCGATCGCAGATTGGAGAGCCTGTCCGTCGCGCTTCAGGCTTAGAGAAGGCTCTCAGCGTGTATGACCGGAAGAGGCATGCGGCTTCTTTGGCGGTGCACAGTGCCATTGGCAACAGATGCCAACTACAGGAATCTGCAACCGTTTCCAACTGTACCTTCCATGATGAAGTACATTCTTCGGATTGCTGACTCATTGTAGACTTGAAAGACTCAGCAAACGCTCATCTTGCCTCTGCAGATGTTACAGCACGGCTTGGTGAGAAGAAACATGCAGGTCTGGCTTCTTGACCCGGGATTCGTTCAAGGAGCTGCGACACAGCTAAATATGAATGAGAGTATGCAAAGTCGAGGTTCGTTTTCAGGTTGAAGACCATGTGCAACTTAAGGCTGCGAGCCGCGCAGTTCAAGCTGACAGACACAGAGGCTGATCTCCCCGTGGGCCTGAATCTACTGAAGTTTTTGTCGGATCCGATGTGCAACCTCAGATCGGTCCAATGCGCCCCACCTGACAGAGGGAGGGAGTAGGGAGGGTGTTGTCCTGCTGATTTCGATCCGATGGGGACCTGCATCTTGCTTGGAGGTGGATGAGGTTATGCTTCAGTGTGACACGGCATGTGCCGATGCCTCAGTCGGCTTAGTCGTGCGGAAGCTGTTGGCTCCTCAGAACGATGGCATCAGGATGGCTTGCTCGATTCCCGGGAGCTCCTTCGACGCTTGAGCCAGGGGCTTGGGCATCGTGCGGCCATGTCCTCGTGCCACTGTCACTGCCGACCACAACGGCAGGCGCAGCAGCGGATCGACCAAAATACCAATCTTCAGCACCCCAGCCCCCGAGACCACCGAATCCGCAACCGCCAGGGCATGGGCCAGCACCTCCGGCCCCGGTTCCGGCTGCAATCCTTCCGCCTCCCGCTGTGCCGTCGAGGCCTCTACCTGCAGCTCCGGGTCCTCCCAGCGCTCCATGCCCTGGCGCCCCCGTACCCCCAGCAACACCGCTTCCTCCGGGCGGCGCCCGTCCACCGATACCACCTGCAGGGCCTTCACTTCCGAGGGCCCCAGTCACAAGTCCAGCAGTTCCTTCAGCACCAGCACCTCCAACACTAGCTGCGCCACCAGCACCAACACCGCCGAGGCCGGGAGCACCGAGAGCACCCATCCCTCCCGCTGCCCCTGGTCACCCCGCACCTCCTTCCGCCTGCCCTTTGCCACCTTCGGGACCTCGTGTCCCAACCCCAACCATCGGGTCCCATTGGTCATCGCGACCTGGAACCGCACCTGCGGTTCCTGCGCCCCCTGCCCCTTCACCGCCAACCCCATCTCGGCCAAGCACGGCACTCGCACCGGCTCCGCCAAGCTTGCTGGGTTCACGTCCCTCACCACCCGGAGTATCAGGACCGTCAGGACCACCACCTCCGAGTCCCAGTTCCAGTCTATTGTCCCGCCCATCTGCACCTATGTCGATGGGCTGTCGGAATGTCTCTGTTTCAGCCGCGCCACCACCACCTGGCCCCCCTGCGCCTCCGTCGCAAAGCACGGCGGGCGCCTCATGAAGCCGTGCTGCACCAAGTTTGGCAGGTTTGAATTGGTGCTTTGCCCAGGTGACATCTGGAATGCGCATCCGCTTCGGATAGACAAAACAAGCGCAGCGTGGTGAATGACGTTGTGTCCTGTTGCCCTGCCTCGATCACGGATTCGCAGGCCTTGCTTCCTTGCAGAAGACATGTGTAGTAGCATGGGACTTGGTGGGTAATTGCACCAATCGACGCCATGCCTAGGCATCTTAAGGCCTTCTCATTGTTCTAGAGGAGCAGTAGCACAAGGGCCCGAGACCGGCGAGACCTGCAACTTCCAGGAGCACCCACCCAGGTGCTGGAGCTTTCAGCGAGGACAGATGCCCAGAGAAGATAATGGAAAGGAGCAGATGATTGTATGTAAAGGCCACACAGAGAAGAGAGAGAGAGAGAGAGAGAGAGCTTCACAACAAGGCCAAGGTCTGGGAGGACCTCAGGCACCCCCCAGGAGAAATTCCCTTTCCAAGCTGCGATCTGAGTAAACCTCAATCTCATCTCTGCGTCCAGCGAAAATCCGACCTGCTGTTGTAGGTCATCAACAGTACTTGTGCTTCGAATGTAGATGAATGTAGAGGACGAGCCCGTCCCACAAAAGCCACGGTGTTCGCCCAGCAGGTTACCAGAGAGACGAGCAACTGCTTCGAGGGGACACTCGAACAAGAGGAGCAAGGTAAGAGACATGGAGGGTGAAACGGCAGCAGTCAAGCTTGACTCCGATCCCGCCATGGTGGTTTGCAGCCTGGAGTTAAATTTCACTGTTCAGGAACATGAGGATCTGATCACGTCAAACATGAAGCCACCTGTCGCCAAACCGCCAAAGTGCGTGAACGGTCATGCATCCCAGCCATGCCAACATGTCTAAAGCTACATGATGTCTTGGGAGCCATGGTGTCCTTGCCATCACCTGCAAGTGGAACCTAGCAAGGCTGGCTTGCTCCAGTGGGACCATTTCCTGCATAGACCGGTGTGTGAGACTCGAAACAGGCATTCGCAAGATGACTGCAGCTTGGCAGAACTTGAACCATTTTGGACTTGACGACCACAGCCTACAGCATTCTCAAGCTGTAAAAGACTAAGCAGCTTAGAATCATCTGTTTCAATTTTATCATTCCCAAGGTGGGGCCATTCCGACTGCAGGCTCTTCGGCTCTCAACACCGCTTGAGTTGCTGCCTTGTGGCCTCCAGCGGAGAGCTGTAATCATGCATTTGCCCTGTGAGTTGCGACAAAACGCACGAATGGACGATGATGTGTGTTTCTTGCAGACGACAGCAGGAGTTTGTATTGGCAGCACGTGCCAGCCACTCATGCAGCAGCCGGAATCACAGCAACCTCAAGACAGACTTGACGACTGCCACAAAAAGTTGCTCTCTGCCCTCTGCATACCAAGCTAGCAGGAGTCGGGAATGTTAAGATGGCGAAACCTGCAAGCAACTACATGGAACGAAGGGCTTGTTCGAGTTTCCGGGCAATTGAAATTCAGAAGTTTTGGCATGTTTTGGCGGCATGCAAGCGTTCGCATGCATGTCCGATCACAGGTCCTTGGCGTCGAATGCTTGGCAGTGGCTGTTGGCTTACCTGCCGTTTCCGCTTCGGTGGTTTATGACATGACACGAGTACTTCACTCCCCTTCTTCAGGTCTCGCTTCCTGGAAAGGGCGGAGAGGCTTGACTGTGGAACAAAACCCACGGCCATTTCTGTTTTTTGCAGAAGCACTTTCGATGCTTTGCAAGGCCCTGGATTGGCTGGCCACTGCCTTGCCAGCCGCACGGAATGCTGGTGGAGCTAAGGGAGGCAAACCGCTGCCACAAACGAAATCCAAGTGCCAACTGCGCATAGTTGCCAAAGCAGGCTGCGCAGCTCTCAGCGCAGGCGGCTGCAATTCCACAGCGGTGGTGGTGCCGGACCGGGTGTAAGAAAGTGCGACATTCATTGACAGCCTGCTTGCAAGATCTTGCAAGTGATTTAAGCAGGAGTCGGCATTACGTGCAGTCGCCCCACCGCCCGGAGCAAACGTCGACTCCTGGCAAAGGGATATTGCTGATAGAAGTTGATTTCATCATTGCAGCTCCAGTTCGTGTCAGATTCCCCTGCTCTTTCTATCCCCCTCTTCACGCTTCTTTCATGGTGCAGCACCCTTCAGAGACCCTCATCATCAGAACGAACGGTACACAAACCACGCGCAACAGCTCGTGGTTGCGAACATGGCACATGTGCGGTAGGAACGCCCAACCGCAAGGAACGTCGGGGTATTCAAGCAGTTCAGAACAGACTGCACGTCCCCGACGAGGGAACCCAGGACCGATTGAAATCACACTGCTTGTCCCAGTTGTGATTGGCCAAGTAGCAACCTCCAATGTGCGCGGCAAATCCGACGACGTCTATGACGTCTGAAGACGACAAGAACGATTGGCTAAGGGCAGTTGTTATCTCTGTACAAGCCGGATCAGCAGACCACCCGTCCGATTACCAGGTCGCCGTTTATGCAACCACGAGCGGACATTGGCACTGTCTGTGACGTAGAGGATTAAATGCCCCTTCCAGTGCGTGCCCCGATGACATGCCAACACGACTAAAGCCAATAACTCCATGATAGAGATGATGTCGGTTTGGTCGCCCTCCAGAGCGAGGGCTCTCAGAGCCTCTCGGTATTGACCGACGGTGGAGGCGTGGAAAACCTTAGCCCCCCAGTCAACCGCTCCAATCCGATCCAGGGTCGCTTGAGACAGGGCGGAACTTCACCATTCATCCCATCTACGTTCACACTTATCGGAACCAACTGGCGGATTGGCCTAGCCGGGAGGACCTGAGTGTTGTCAGAGCACAGCTCCAGGCCGAAGGCTGGGAAGAAGCCGCCTCTGACATCCTCGTGTGCGAGAGTGATGCCTGCCAATGCCGCCACGGTCGGTATATCGAATGTCGCGATGTCAACTGCTTTTTTTGCTGCCTGCTCCTACCTCTGCATACCTCTGCATCTCACCATTTCTCATGCTGGCAATGGAGGCGACGAGCAGCGTGGTTTTTGGTCGGTTCTTTTCGGTTCTTTGCTGCCTAGGATACGCCTTGGGCTGCTTTGGAAGTCTCCTTCGCAAAGAGGCATGCGACATCCATCGCAGTACGACGTGAGCCGGTGCATTTTACAATCCCATTGTGAATTACACACGGTTGCAGGGCAGTGGCAACATCTATCGTGTTCATTGTTTCCTGTTCCAGGGCTGTGTCGGATGCTCTGGTGCTGGCGTCACTGGCTCCGGTTCTGTCATCGGCGAAGGTAAGATGGCCGGATGCCGAGAGAATGCTTTCCAGCCCTCGGACCGCGCAATCAGCAGGGGAGACGAAGCTGTGATTGAGTGAAGCTTTCTGGCCCAGGCGGGCGCTGCCAGCCGCTCAGGCCACGGGAAGCCGCAGGCGACGTGGGGCTTTTGCCAGACAGCATTGATTGCAGGCACCCTGCTTGCTCCTTATCAGAGAGGACTCAGGGCTCCCTGAACACTTGGCCCGCTGTTGTCCATGCTGCACTGACTGTGATCGTTGCTGGCTCTTTGCAGGAAGATCTTTCTGCTGCCAGTGTGGCGCTTGTTCGCGCTGGGCATGCCATCGGCCCGGCCGCATTGGCCTCGGGGTTGATGTCGCCACATTCTGGCGCTGCAAGAGTATCAAGAGTTTGGCTGGCAGGCCCGCGTGTGCCCTCCCAAACCTCAAGAGGACACTGTCCAGCTCTCAGCCTTAGGGCTTGCTCAAGCGCAGTTCTGCGTGCCAAAAGCCCAAGGCAGCATCTGGCAAGAACGCTGAGCACGTGGGAGCTTGGACCCTAACTCGTCGAGAGGAGCCCCTGACGAACAAAGCCATTGGATTGTTCAGCCTACGATCTGTAGAAACGCAAAGCTTCGCACCAGGAGCCTGTGGGCAAGACCGTCGAGGAGCCCGATGAAAAAGGCGGCGTTTGAACAAGCTCTTTTTTGCTCACTTAAACCACAGATCTTGCTTGCCCTTGGAGGTCCCTTGCGCTTGCAGGCTCACGAGCTTGTGTTTTCTTAGCTACGGGGCTTCCCCATGACTCCACTTCCAGTGATGAACTGGCTTGGTTGGACTTACAGAGAGAGGTCCAGACGGCTTCGATGCATTCACTGCAAGGCTGATCGCGCAGGTTAGAGGTGGGATGAGATGTGAGCATCGAAACAAAAGGTGGTTGTGGAAAGAGAGACGAGCACAGCGCATCACCAAACAGCATGGTGCGACTGCTGTCAGTACAGCCCCTTGTTTAGCCCTGGTGTCGTGTTTGTTGGTCGCAGCTCTCGCCGGCCACTCTTCGCAGTCTGGAGACTGGCCCTGGATTCAGATTTTGCAGACACAACAGGCTCCGTCCGGAGTCTACGTGGAGGTGCGGATTCCCCAGGAGGGAGCAAAGGAGCAGGCTCGGCGCCCGAGAGTTCCCGGGAGTCCCGGAAGTCCGGAGCTCATGGCAGGCCTCCTGTGCGGGGATCCACTCCGTCGTCGAGGTCAGCGGAGGCCGCCAGATGAGTGCACGGATGCTTAGTTCTGGGCAATTATCATTGCTTTGCCAGGTAAGGCATGGCCATCACTTGAAATTCTGAGGTGCGGCACCGTGTGGTTGACTTCCGGCCACCGACGGGGCGGGTTCTTTGCACACAGGCGCATTGCGGTCATTCTGGGAGCTCCTGGCCATCAACAGTCACAGAGACTTTCTGCACGGTTTCCTTGCCAGGTTAAGTTTGACAAGGAGGCTTCGTGCTTTGCATCGAACTTCCTGGATTGCACATGCTGCATTCGAAAAGAGGTCATGGCTGCGGAGTTGAGTTATCCTCGCGGCCGCTTCCGTGATGAGTCTGCCACCCTTCTGTAGACCAGATTTTACGAACTTGAGACTGGCATGCTCCACCTAAAGAGGTACATAGAAGCCTGGTCTCGTATTCATTCGGGTCCGATGGCAGCGTCGGGCCCTTGAAGCACCACGCCGTGTAGAATGGTAAAGGCTTTAAGGGTTACACTCCTGAGGTTGGAGTTGATATCTGAAGAGCCTTCTGTGGGACCTTCGCGGACAGGCTCCGGCACATTCAACGGGATCATTACCGGTTTATTCCCATCTGATTCTCAGCCGAATTTGTGGAAGGTTACTGGATCTTCTGCGGCAGCCGCTTCGGGCGCGTGATTGGCCTGCCTGTTGGACAGGACCGTCGGACACTGGCACTTTCATGTCACAGCACAACCTTCCGGAAACGGAGCTTGCACGAAGCGTCGCGTCCCCAGGGAGTCGCTTCCGCCCGAGCCTCGGGAAGCTTCGCCTGAATTCGCGAAATGCGCAGAAGACAGGGCACCTGCTGCGGATCTCTGGAGCAGCTTGAAGTATGTTTGGGTGGCGTTGGAAGCTCAGATGCTTCGTGCTGATTGTTGAAGGTTGCAGTTGGCAAGGGCAGGCACAAGAGACATTTCAGCTGCAAGCTGGGAGGCTTCTGCAAGGGAGGAGCTGCATACACGCTACGAGGTCAGAAACCAAGATCGATTACGTGAAGCCGTGAAGCTGCATATGGAATGAACAAAAACAGAGCATCGAAGCGAGCAGCAAGAAGGCTGTTTGGGGCGACATCGAGCGACCAGGGAGGCTGAGAATCCGCGAGGAGGTCGGGCAGAAAGCTCATACTATGAAGTATGTGAAATGGATGCAAACTTGCCTCAGGTCTGGTCCAAGAGCAAGTCCGGCGATTTGATCTACGACCAGGCCGCCCAAAAGGAGCAGCAGGGCCTAGGATGTCGGGGCATTGCCTCAGACAAACAGCCGACCGAACCTGTACGCAAAGGAAACATGCGAAAGCGTTGAGAACCGTCTTTGAAAGCGTGATGGCGGCATCAACCACTCTTTTCTTGCCGCACTCGCATGCGGAAGGGGGTGAGCAAGAAAGGCACTCATGTAGACAGGAAGGGAACGGAAAAGAGAGCGCAAGATGCTATTGAATGGAGAGTGGGAGAGATGCATGGACCCACAGCACTGCACTGGAGCTGGTGCTCAGTGGCGGCTTTTGGGCAAGGCATGGCAAGGCAGAAAGAGTAGGCCAAGACGAAATAAAGCTCCGCCAGCTGCCGTTGCAGTCGACTTCTGGGCACAAGTCCATGTCAGACGACTTTAGACCGCTTGTTCCGCGGTGTTCGCTATCGCGGGCCATGACCACGAGCACTCGATTTGAAGTTCGGATGTTGCACGCTGCGATACGAGTGGGTGGGCAGTGTTGTTCTCCCGTGGTCGGGCAGGCCCATTGGGTCAGTCTACTACTTTCGGTACGGGAGTTACGCTACTTCTGATCTCGGCGCCGCAGAAATTGGGTAGAGCTTCGCATGGGAACACGAGGAGCTGTTTGCCAAATGCATCTCTCGGTGCAGGCAACTGGTGTTGGTGGCACTCTCACCTTTGGTCCGAGCGAGGCACACTAATGCAAACTGCGAACCAGCATAGCCGCAGAGCAACTTGCATGGCCAAGACCTCCGGTGGAAGGTGCTGCACTGCTTGCCGAACGGCGTCAAGCAGCGATGGTGGGCCCTCCTGAATTTGTGTCGTGAACATGAAACGAAAGCGTTCCACATTGCAGGCGCATCCGTGACTGGGGCCTGGTACTCGGAAAATCTTAGACATCTGAGACATCTTGGACCTGCAATCTATTGATTTGATTTGATCTTCTCAAGGCTTCGATCCCTTCCGACCCGGCGGACCGTTGCCTGCGCCGCCAGAGATCCCAGTCTCTGCAGAAGATTGTATGTATTCTAAAGTCGCACAGCGTGTTCTGAGGCTCGGAGCAGAGGCCTGCAGACCACTTAGCGCGGTCGCCGGACAGTGCTGCAGTCTGCGATGGGAGGCCATTCAGTCTGACAACGAGGCACAGCTTTGGTGCGACGTTTGAAATCAGCTGCTGGCAAAGCATAGCCATGTGTTTTGGCCCGGGTTCACCCTTGTTTGAGCAAGGTTTTTTGTTGGCCACGATGAGTTTGAGTAAGCCAGAACAGCCAACCTTGACGCATGCAGTTCTCTTCGTCGTCTAGCTCCTCTTCAGCATCGCTTGCATCCCAGCTGTTGTCACAAAAATTCCGATCTGACTCGCCGATTCTGTCCGGAAGCTTCGTTAAGGAATGCAGCCGGGGTTGCGGCCGCCACTCCAGCAGCTCCAAAAGCTGCCCCAGGAGGGTTTGCGTGCATGCATAATGGCAATTGGCACTCTCACGCCGAATCCCCATTGTAAGCTGCTAACGACGGCGTCATGTTCTGTAGCCTAAGGGTGCTTGCGTTTCTTTTTCTCAACACAAAATGTATTGCGACAGACCTCGGTTCAACGTGGGTCAATTTCGAGCACGCAAGTAACACCCAGCGATGTGAATCAGCATCGATGAGGAGCTCAGGCGGTTCCAGCTCCTGTGGTGCTGGCCTCGGGGTTTAAGCACCGTCATCACTCAAGTTGTTGGGCATCGCCCTCAGCATCCTGGAGACAAAGCCACCTACAGTCCCTCTCGAATCAGATGCAAACGAGACCTAGTGAGGCGGACAAGCACAGCCACATGCAATCGGGAGACTCTAGCCGTTTAGCCAGCGACAGAAAAACTGGAAGAAGATGCCAAGCTACTAGAATTGAGGGCCTTGCTCCCTCATCCTCTTTGCTTAGGATTGCTGGCGCTTTGCTTTGGTCCTTCGGTCGGGTCAAACAGTTTCGGCTATGTCGGGTGGGGCATTGAGTGTATTCTTGTAGTTGCTACCATCGTCTATTGTCATGTCGGCTGGGTGATCGTGCGCCGTGGTCGGTTGGGCCTGGGTGGCTCATGGCAGCAGGTTCTTTCGAACCTGCACAGAAGAGGTCTTTGTGATGTTGTGGGATGTTTGCTGCTTCAACAAGGCAAGCACGCCACCAGCGCCGGTTCAGGCAGCCCCATGCCCAGCATGATGCGCGCTTTATAGAATAGATCGATCTGAAGAGGACTTGCGCATGGCACCACCTTCGACACCTCTTTGAGCTGCAAAGCGGTTTAGCTGACAGACGAATCGGAGGCAGTGGCTGTGGCAGCCGCAGCCTCTCGGAGCCGATCCCACTCCAGCTCCTCCGCTTCCAGGTACCATTCAACCATTCAACAAAAAGCTCAAAGACGAAACAAGAACGCACTCTGTGGACGGAGGCGGAAAGGAAAGACCAAAGACAAGCAGCGGGACAAGCGTGAGAAGGAGAAGGACACTCGATGCAAACGGGCTCCAAGTGGCTCCAATAGATTCCGAGGTGATCCCAGCTACGTTTTGTGTGGCAGGCCCGCAGCAGGGACCGGCGGCGCCGTCAGGCCTCCATAGAGGATCACAGCGGTGTAGCTGCAGCACGCTGCAGACGGTAGCAGCAACATCACGAGAAAGCCTGTTCACATCCTGTCCATCAATGGACGTGAGTAGCAATTCGGTCTATGTACTACTACGCACTTGCATTCACAATCGCTAGGCAAGCGCAAGTGCATCTCGGCACCATCGTCGTCGGCATGGCAGGCGAAATGATATTGAGCCGCTGCTTTGTGCTCTATTCTTGCAAGTCAGGCGCAGGCGGGACTCTTCCCAGCCCAAGGCAAGTCGTCGTTCTTCTTGCCTCCGGAGATAACAGCCTAGCAAAAACCCTTTGGGATCCTTGAGCGGTCTTTTTCACGCATGGGCTTCAGCAAGTGCTGCACTTCAGGCACCGAAGGCACCAACGCCGGCCTCAAGCTTAGAAACCTCTGACAGTTTCCCTACTGCTGTGAGTGCGCATTCTCCGAGGCCTACCCGTTTGGAGCTTACCCTCCACAGGTGCGCGGAGGGGGGCGTGCTTCAGGCAGCTCTGTGCGACTTCCGAGCCACTCTGAAGCCACAGGCAGCGTATCCGCCATTCCCGGCTGGCCGAGAACTTAGCCGCATACCCCTCCAAACATGCGATCAGCAGCCGGTCAATTGAGGAAAGGCCCCGCCTCCGCATCTTCCTGCATATCCACCAGCGTTTGGAGCCTACAGTTTCTTGCAGGAAACATCCGTTCTGACCCATAGAAATGCTGCATGACAGGCCTCAGGCTTTTGGCCCACCAGGCACAGGAAGTCGTTTAGAGTCGTCAAGTGTGGTGGGCGTTGCGGATGGTCCTTGTAGCAGCAGTCTTTGGAGCCAGGTTTCGCTCATCCGCCACCTGGATACCCACCCCACCCTGCCCACCCCCTGCCTCTTCACCATCCACACCCTCGCCCAGCGCACCCAGTGCATCCACATGCATTGCCAATGCACCCACACCCGGGACATCCTCACCCGGTACATCCCCTGCCCATGCATCCTGCACATCGTGGCTGCAGCCTTACGGGGCACGTTGCTTCTTAAGTTCCTGCCTGGAGTCCCGTTGACATTTCCAGTGCATGCCCAGGGCATCCTGCCTACCCCTGGCCGCCCTACCCAGGACAACCACACCAGGCATTGAATAAGCTGGAACGAGACGGCTAGAATTAGCACTACAGGAGCCCACTTCCCACGGCCAGTTGCCAAGGTTGGCACTGCCAGGAGACCTTTCAATGTTTCTGTTTTGGCTGATCACCCCATGACAGGTGCCTGCTCCGATGCATCCCGACAGAGAGGCCAGGTTTAGCCAGAGCCGTCGAATTACGAGCGTACAATTTCTTGCCTTGAACTCAGGACGCCCCCCCTGGAGACAGCTGCCCACCTAGATACTGGCAAGGCCCAGATTGCTGGCACCCTTGGTGCATCTGCTGAGGCAACGGCGCTGCCGTCAGGAGCTCGATGCAGGGCTCGAATCACGGTATCGAACTCGGAAGTCTAAATCTTTGCACCCAGGCCAGCCTGGCTTCGGGCGCAAAGACTCTGCCACCGAAGGCAGCAGGGCCAACGCCAAAGGCACCGGAGCCTTGTCGCGGGAATGTGTAAACACTTGTCGGAGCCTTGTCGCAGGTCGAAGGTATTGGGAGTGCCTGGGGCCAGCCTGCCGGGGCACCGCCTGGGCCTGGGGCACCACCCAATGGAGCTCTTGGGGCGAGCTGGGGCGACCCTGTTCCAGCCAAAGCACCCGCAGCGCCTGCAGATCCTAGGGTTGATTGGTTCTGCCGTCAACATGGCTTGGATGCGGTGGTCGAGAGACGCCTGAGACAGCTGGCCCCTGACGCACAGCGTCGCGTGATGGACGAGGGCCCTATTGGCGCCAATCCTTCCTTCGAAGTGACGAGTCGAATCCACCGAATCGAAGCCTGGGAACATGGCCATCATGTGTCGAGCTTCTGTGCGCGCCACATCGTCTCCCCGCAAGCCCAGGATGCACTCAAAGCCCTTTCGCCGGACATTGCACGCAAGGTTATGTCCACGCCGCTCACTAGCCCGGATCCTTCCAGCGAGCTCCTTGCGCGATGCAACGATGCCGGCAAGGACTCGGCGGTGCAGTGACTTAGTTGATTCTTTGTGCTGTGTATATGCAAACCAGCAGTGCGCTGTGGTGCAGGATAGCTTGGGCCAAGCAGAGGACCCGAGGCACGCAGCAGCCAGAAATACAAATCTAGGCCCAGGCTTCTGACACCCGAGGAAGCAAAAGTCTGGAAGCTCCAGCTCGATGGATCCTTAGACTGGGCACTTTTCAACCACTCAACATAGTATACTGTAGTGCCTGAGCCTCAGGTCCTCGGAATCTCGATCACGCAGCCCGCGGCAATGAAGCGGCAACGAGCATATGTTCGATGTGGTGCACGAAACAAGAGAGCAGATGGAAGACAACTTGCTCGAATGATGAATCAGTGTTGTTTTGTCAAGTGGCATTCTGCGGTTGGTGCCCCAAGCCGTGATAACTTGGAAATACCCTCCAGTTTGCCATGCTCGAATTCTCAAAATTGTGGTAGGGGCTCGTCACAACCAGCTTCATTCTAGAACCACCAACCACCGTCACCATCGCCAATGACGGTGCCGTCTTGTGTGTGTTGAATCATGTGGATACTAATCCAGCTGCAGCGCTTACGGGCGCACATCGTTGTCAGCCCAGCCTGACACGCAACATAGCACAACTTGAAGCTGAAACTTCGGTTCCATCTGGGCTTCGCTTTGCCATCAAAAGCCATGGTGAAGAAGAAGTTTGGCGGCGAGAAGGTCGATGTGAAGGGTGTCTTGGCACCGGCTCCTGCTGCTCCCAAGAAGCCCGCCGGATCAGCATGGTCCAAGGGCGCCGGTAAGGCCGCGGAAGCCTCACCGGCCGGCGTGGGACCAGCCACAGCCTCAGCTCCAGGCCGTGCTCCGTCAGCTCCGGGATCAGCTACAGGGGCATGGGCGAAAGGGGGGCCGTTGGGGTTAGCAGCCACAGCCACCTCCCTGCAAGCAGCGGCTAAGCCAAAATCTGTGCCAGCTCCACGAGCACCAGTTGGCTATGCAGCTCCCCAAAGGCCTGCATTGGGACAGAAGCAGGCTTCTCCAGTGTTTAACGCAGCAGATTTCCCAGATGTAGAGAAGCCGAAGACTGCCGCCGAATTGGCAGAAGAAACCGCAAACAGAAAGGCTGCCAAAGCCTTTCCAGAGGTGTCGAATTGTGCTGAAGCGCTGGTGGCCTTGTGCAGTAGAGCAAGTGTCACGGAGTCCTCTGATATCGGTCGAGCTACGTCAGGCCTGTCTTGGCTGCTGAACACGTTGACAAGTGCATCAGACATGTCAGATGATGATAGAGACAAGCTCCTGAGAGCAGGAGCCTTGGTAATTGAGGGTGTGGCTTCAGATGAGGCGGGTGTATCTGCTGTTGATGAGATCCTGAAGGGATATTTCCAAGAGCAGCAGCACAAGGGCAAGAACACACCACAGGTCCTTGAGGCCAACGGCCTAGTCGATGCCTTGCTTTTCGGAAAGCTGGCGCTGCAACTGGAGGCTAGAAGCCCGAGGCAATGTGCCATTAGGCTGAGAATTGTAAGGCGATTGCAAAAGCCAACGACTTCCGCTGTCGTTCAGCATGCTTTGGCAGATGCACTCGTGCCACTACTGGCAGCAGACCCAGATGCAGCCGAAGCGATATGTCACAAGGACTTCGTCCCAGACTTGTCTTCTGCACAGGAAGGTACCCGACGTGGTGCAGCTTTAGGTATTGCCGCCGTCGTACAAGGATCTGGAGGTGTGACGGCAATGAAGAAGTTGGGCACCATGGAGATTGTGAAGGAGTATGCAACCACTTCAGGGAAAACATCGGCGAGCAAGCGTCAGGCAGCACTGTTTCTGCTGCAAGCACTTGCTCAGGCCTTGGGTCGAACCTTTGAGCCCTTTGCAATGGCCTCAATGCCTTTGCTCCTGGAGAGCTGTTCAGACTCTGCCAAGGATGTTCAACTTGCTGGGCGCGCTGCAGCAAAGACAGTTGTAAGCCAGGTGAGCAGCGTTGGTGTACGGCTCATGATTAATCCTGTGCTGGAGGGGCTCAAGGACAAGCGTTGGCGAACGCAGCTTTCGGCAGCGGAGCTGCTGAAGCCAATCGTTTCAGAACTAGTTCAGAGTGCTCCCAAACGACTGTTGGCCGTAGTCCCAAAGGCTGTGCCTCTCCTTTGCGAAGCCGGAGCGGGCACCCGTGCAGAGCTCCGCAACGCTGCGCGTGACGTCCTAGAGCAAATCGGTGCTGCTATCGATCACCCTGCTGTTTCTGCATTATCATCAGATCTCATAGCCGCACTCCTTGAGCCCGGCGATATGGCACTAGCTAGGGCGCTAGATGGGCTCCTCGGAACGGTTTACACAACCTCAGTGAGTGGTGCCTCTTGCGCTCTTATTTGCCCTGTGGTGGAACGTGCCATTTCCAAGGGGGACGCTGAGGTTCGACGGAAGGGAGCCAGCTTTGTCAGAACCTTGAGCCAATGGGCGGTGGATGCCGAGGAGCTCGGGCCGTACTTGGCCACATTACGGCCACAACTGGAGGCTCTCCTTGCCGATCCTACTCCAGCCGTCCGAGACGCAGCCGCGCAGGCTATTGGAGTCTTAGCCGCTGCAACCTCTGCATCAGGTGGCGATGAAGGTGCTGGTGATGTGCTAAGTTTATGTGAAACGTTTTTCATTTGTTATTGATGTACTGTGGCTGGGCTCTGGGCAATAAACGGGTTCCAGGAAACCGATAACATCGCGATCTTTGGATTGTTGGTTGAGACACTCAGCATGGCAACTCACAAAGTATGGCATGATGTGCTTGTACGGCTACGGGGTTTCAACACGACAGTCCGTGAGATTTTTTGGGTAGCCTTTGGGGAACTCATCTTGGCAAGTTTGTTCGGACAGGGCTTGAAATTGAGGGACCCATCACAGCAACCCCGCATTTGTTTTGAGCGACTCCACTTGCTGCCGCTCGAGCGGCAAATAGATGAAGAACAGGAAAGATCTCAAAGCGATGCTTAGGGCACCTGTTTAGGAAAACTAAGGTGACGTGGCCTCAACGTTGGTGCAAAAGCTCCAGAGCACAAGCGAAGAAGCAGAAATGGAGGGCGCTTCGCAGGGGTTGGCAGCGGCGCTGGCAGCATCTGAGGATCGCGCTGAGCTTTTTGAGCAGATCCTTCAGGGCGCAAGACGTGGCTGCATCGGATTTCTCACAGTGATGGCACACTTGCCAAAAGCACTGAAAGACACAGCGGGTGGTGAAGATGACATTACTTCGACCCTTGTTGTGTTGAGTGAAGCCTTGTCTGACAAAGACGAGGCCATCAGGAAAGCTGGTCGTCGCGGCTTGACTGCTGTGGCAGAGGGGTCCAAGAGCCCTGAGGTAGCAACGGCCCTGGCAGCAGCATTGGAGTCAGCATTACGAGCAGATGAGCCACAAGCACGAACCGCAGCAGCTGAATTAGCACTCATCCTGCTGGCGCAAAAGACATTGACACCAAGTGCAACCGCTGCCGCATGGGCAGATCTGGTCGCAGCTGCCGTGGTGGCTCAGTCTGATGCCAATGCTGTTGTTCGTCGGGCTGCAGACCGAGTGTGGCGCGCAGCCAATGAGGCTGGTGGTAATGCCGGAAAGCAGCTGAAAGATCTGAGGCCACTTCTGCTCGAGCGCCTCGCCGCCGACCTTTCAGGGCCAAGAGCCACTGTAGCTGCGGCAGCAGGCCGTGCGGCCCTGAATTTGCAAGAACGCCTTGAGAAGCTGGGCATTATTGAGGACTTGGTGCCGCCACTCCGTGACGCCTTGCAAGACGAGGAGCTCAGTATCAGAAGATCTGCATGTCAAGGCCTTTCAGAAATCTTGCGTGATGAGAGGGGCCAGAAAGTCATCTTAAGGGACGCAGAGCTGGTACTTGGGATCAAGAGCGCATTGCTCAAAGCTGGCGACGATGAAAGTGCAGAGCCGCTCCGAAAGACAGCCGCTGCCTGCTGCGCTGCAGTGCCGTCTACGATGTTGGCAGAGCCTATTGTGGAAGAGCTTTGCCAGATGGAAGTTGGTCTCAATGACGAGCAGCGCAAAGGCCTGGAGCGTTTGGTTGCTGGCACTTCTGCATCATTCTTGTCAGCTTTGGTCAGACTGGCTGGTGCTCCGCCCCATAACCTTGGGCAGATCTCTTGCCTGACTGCGGCAGCGGCTGCAGCTCCAGCTTCACTGCGAGAGGTGACACCAGATCTGGCATTTGCGTGTGTCGATGCGGCTGCAGTTCTCGAGAGTTCCGAGCCTGGTCCGGCAAGCAGCGCTGCAGCAGCAATCCTTTCGCAGTTGGATCAGGGTGGTGCCGACGAGTTCATCGCTGCCTTGGTTTCTAGAATTGAACCGACTGAGCAAGGACGCAAAAGCAACCAGTCAGAGGCAGCAGCACACATTCTGACAGCCTGCTTTGGATCAATGCAACGGCCTCCATTACAGGCAGAGGCTTTGCTAGATGTCCTAGTCCGGGGTGCGCTGATCGCTTCACCTGACAGATCCTGTGTCAAAGCTTATTCGCTTGCGCTGCGGGGTCTGACCGGGTTGTCTGGGGCTGCATCACTGTGTCAGTCACTTGCGCCCTGCCTTGCTGCAGCTTTGTCCAGAATGGAAGGGCAGATTGCCCCAGAGGCGTTAGATGCTTTGGCTCCGCTTCTACAATGTGTGACACATGCTGGTCAGCATCGGAGGTCTCTCGCAGAGTCCTGCGTAGGACTCTTTCAGCGCACAGCTGATTTGGATTTGCAAGGCCACGCCGTGAAGCTCGCGGGCCCACTCCTCAGGCTTCTCGGTGAGAAGGATACAGACCTTCAGATCGCCGTGGTTTCAGCCATGACAGAGCTGCTGCAGCGCACTACAGCAGTACGGCCGCTTGTTCCCGCACTCCAGACGGCGCTGGTACGATTGCTGGAAGGTCCAGCTGAGCTTCACAGCGTGGTTGCGCAAGCCCTTGGTGCTTTGGCTCCGGTTGTTCCCCGCGCAGAAGGACTGGTGAAGTTACTATGCAAGCCTCCCTCGAGGGCGTCCAATGTCTCAGCGCTTACAG